ATTGCACTAACTTTTTAGTGTATCAGTAGACCCGTGAATAGGGTCTGTTTGGGGGGTAGGTTGTATACTTTTTTGAAATTGTTGGGGGATAGGGTGTATACTGTGTATTATAAATTGATGCATATTTTCTCTAAATTGGGTATGATTTCCGTATTTTGTTAATTTTTGGCGAAATTCACAGGGCCCACCTCAGTAGAGGGGGCCTTATTAATAAAACTGGGGGGAGTGTAGTATTCGTAGGGTTAGTTTTAGGTCATCAGACAGACCATCTAGAGATTTCCGAAGAACTACCCAGAAATCCCTCTCTTCCGGTAATGAACTAAATGGCTATACAGACGATATTCTACTGAAGAGCAATCCGGCTGTTCCTGACTGCAGGAACGACCATCCAAGGTATCTATTGGTATTTAGATATACTCGGAATCACAACATATATATAATGAAGTGTATTCAGTTTATATACATATATTAACTAAATCTCGTCTTGTACCTGTGCTTCTTTGGACCCGCGGCAACAGTCAGAATCGTTTCAGGTTGGACAGACTGTAACTGTCGGTAAATTGACTAACAATTTTATAGTAAAAACTGCTAAAATCAATCCAGCTTTTGTTGTAAAACATGCTCTTACGAATGTTGTACAGAATTGTGCCCAGGACGCAACATAAACGGCTGTTAATGCTTTTTAGTTTATGATGGCAAGGGAACAGACAATGTGGAACGAGAAAGATGAAACTTCAGAAGCTTTCCCCAGTAGGCAGACATGGTGTATGATTCATATTCATTTATAAATGAATCTGCCCCAGCACCATGTCTACTTTTATTCTTTTTTATTTCTCTGGCTGGTCCCATAACAATTTATACAAGAAAAGGGAAAAAATCCTGTCATATTTACATCTGCAATTTATTTGACCAGTAGATTAATGAGGTACCTTCACGACAAATTGTCACGAAATAGAAGTTCCAAATGGAAAAAGTGTTCTGGAATATTATTTCCACTGGAATAAATATTACAGTATATGTTCCTAACGGAATGAATGGTATAGAATATTTGTTCCAACAGGAACAGATATTATGACATTGGTTATAACAAGTTTCCAGTGGAACTTCTGTTAGGCAGAACAATCATATGTAGACAGAATAACGCTAAAAAATCTTGCCAAACGACGTTAAAGGTAATTTTTGGTGCCTGACGATAAAATGTACACTTTCTTTTAGACGGTAAAAAAATCGACTGATTTTGACGAATAAAGTAAAAAATTTTCCAAAAAAAGGTAACGATAATTATCTGAGACCTATAGTATACAAATCCTTGCTCTGAAGAATCACGATAAGGATATTTTGATGAATTAAGGTAAAATTTTAACCAATTTGACGCTAACGGTAGCCAAAAATGACCATTTGACGCCTGACGGTAACAGGCATTACTACCATCATTAATAAGACAAAGATTTCACATTCTCACTCTTCTCAAAACCTGGAATTTTAATATTGGCAGAACCACCCAATCTTCAATCACCATCACATTTTTTCAAACATCAAAACACATCTGTATATTAAATAAAGAGGGTGCAAGGGCAGAGTATTAACCCTAAAAAAATCATAATTATCTGCTGCTTAGCATCGGTTCACAGTTTTTTCAAGGGGTACGAATCTGCTTCCATATGTATACCCTGTGTGACATTTACATTTTTAGGTTCAACGAGGATCAACATAATAACATACCATGCCAGATTTTTCACTGCCATTTTTGGTTCAAGATAATTCATCGTGAAGAACATACACTTTTCTTTTTACGACCAATGAAATGCATACAATTTTCATTAGAGTTTATTTTCATATTTCTGACGCAGATTTAAAACAGAAAATTAAAAAAGCTGTAGATTTAATTACTTTTCTAAATATCAGAGAAGCCCGCACATCAAACTATTTGATTTGGAACTTTTTCCTGCTGTCGACCCATCAATAAAAAAAAAAAAAAATGTTTTCATAAAATAAAATGTTTTACCTACCTACCCTACCTAATTTTTTTGAAGATGAAATAGGAAACACACTATTAATTTATTTTTGCCCTAATGATTAAAATGTATTTTTAATTTTTTTTTAATTCTAAAACAATTATATTTTCCTCTCTTTATATCAATAAAAAACCATGGCCAAAACGACTGTGGTCGAAAGGGCAGTGTGGCCAAAACGTCCTGCATCAAAAAAAATTATATTAATGGTATTAAGTTTTAATAAACTTACTCAGATATTAACCAAAATATATATATTTCTCAAAATTCATGAAAAAACATGGAAATGTTTGGAAATTAATGATTATTAAATGTTCAAAATTATGTCTTTGATCTCACTGATTGTTGTATTTATTGTCTTTGGCGGATTAATGATGAAAACAATTTTTTTTTTTTTTTTTTGATAAACTAGACTGACAGTGTGGAATGAGTAAAAATATTGATATACAAATTGTCAAAACACAAAAGCGAAACTTTGGGGTATTTATAAGTTCATTTATTATTTTACTGTCTAAATTGACTGACTAGAATTATTGAGGAATGAGAAGACAAGAATTTAAATTAAAAATCAGGGCGAACTGGTATTAGGGCTAATTGACCCAGGGCGAACAGGTACTAGGGCTAATGTGAATGGGGGGAACAAACCCGGATTCTTTTTTGTACATAACCACATTTCTTGAATATGTTACATCTGCTCAATATCTAAGCATTATTTAGAATCCAATCTAATTAGGAACCTACATATAATTACAACATTATATTAAAAAGAAATAGGATTCCCTACATGAAAAATATTCTAAAACACATAAAATCCAGAGCAAAATTGACATGTAGGCTGCAGTTGATTGGACCCTCGCACAAAAGATGCTACACAAAAATAGAAATAGTTCAGAGACAAAAAGCTAGATACATTTGTAATAGCTACCATAACACCAGTAGTGTTACAATTACGATTAATTACTTACAACTACCTACAAATGTACTTTAGATGAACACCGCCTTTAAAAACAAAACTAATTATATTTTATAAAGTTATTCATGGCCTTAGTGCCATACCATCTGAAATACTATTACCAACTGACAACAGAACAAGTCAAAACCACCCAATTACTTACAGACTGTGAGACATATACAAACTACAAGGATACATTGTACATATAAATTGTCTTTTTTTCCACAAACTATCATTTATGAAGTTATATAAAAGGTTTTCATCAGCAATGTTTAGAATGAGTTTGAAAATCAATGCAGATTAACTCATTAAAAAAAAGAGTAATGCCTCTTCTGTTCATCCGTCCATCCAACCTTGAAAGTGCTCTCAAGTCTACAATTCTTGCCATATTTTATGAAATTTAGATTAAAGATTAATAGCATGAATGTCCTGTACCATGTAGGAAACCAGCCATGATCAATTGTTATTACAGGAGTAATATCCCTTGGAACAGTAAATTCCATGAAAAATTGCAATGTTAGTGCCCTGGAGCCAAAATTTCTTGTCAGATCTTTCACAAATTTGATTTAAAATTGTTTATAATAGCAATGTCTTGAACAAGTTTTAAAATCCATGCATATCATATATTTTTATAGGAGTAATACCCCTTCCTTGTATCCATCTTTTTTTTGTCGTGTCTTGGAAGCACCCTCAACCCTACGATTCTTGCTATATTTTTAAGAAATTAAAATTGAAGATTTATATCATTTATGTTTTGGATGAGTTCAAAAATCGGGGGTGATCAATTTTTTTAATGGGAGTCATGTCCCTTGGAAAATTGAATTGTAAGACTTGTCTAGCAAACATTTAATGTTAGAGTTTAGTAAAAGTTATATCAGAGTTTATATCAGCAATCATGGCACTGACTTGGATGAGTTTGATAATCAGTGCTGATCAGCTATTTTTACAGAGTTATGTCCCTTTGAAATGAAATTTATATGGAAAATTTCATTGTAAGCACACTGAAGCCTACTTTTCTTTTCAGATGTTTATCAAATGTTTATATTAACAAGGTCTTTAACAAGTTAGATAATCAACGCCAATAAAAAAAAAAAAAATTACAGGAGTTGCCTCTTGGATATAAAAATGTGTATGGAAAATTGCAATATAAGTGAACTCGCATCTAAATTTTTTGTAGGATATTTATGAAAAAATTTTATACAACAAAAATAATGTTTTGTAGTTCATCATGTTTATTGCCCTTAAACAAATTAAATATGTGTATCAGGCCTTCAGTAGGGAACATTGGAACAGAGATGTCACCAACCTCTAGGGGAAAATTGCAGTATTTAATTAACCTGCTCAGATACATGTACCTGACCTTGAACTGATTATTTTCAGGCCCTGTCCAATAGATAATGGTCCAGCGACTGAATTACTAAACCATGTTGCTGTCAATCAGATTGTCTTTTTCTGAGTTTTATGCCGACAGGCGAGACATGTATCTCTGTGTCAACAGTTTATTATATTAATACATATTAATAAATCAATATCTTTAATACATATGTGTAGAAAATTAACTTAATAAACCAATTTTCTTTCGTATAATATTTTGTGTAATATTTTTAACTAATATGGCTTCTCCTAAATTTTTGTTTGGCTATCAAGGGTTCATCAGATATATCACCTTTGCCAAGCTTTTTCCTGCCTAAGGCTAATTTCATTTCCTTTTTTTAAACACTGGCAATTGGTCATAAGACAACCACTGTCAATATTCTTAGTATGGATAAAAAGCTAAATGATTTGCTTTTTCATATATATATTGTCTCTACATGTATATTAAGGTTCAGCTCCTAATTGGCCAAAATTTTTGTATGGCAATAAATGTCTCTGTCATTCCCTGGTAGTATTGTAATTGCACAAAACCTTATGCTATAAAACTGAGTAATCCTTCATCCTACCACTCCAGATGTTGTGGAAGAATCTACAAAATGTTCTATATGAGTTTGTACATGTTAATATAACTTTGTAATATGGAATGTATTTTTTTTTTCCAGTTTTTAACAGAACTGACAAAGATGTTTCAGAAAGGAAGATCATCTGGTTCAATGATGTTAACAATGAAAAGATGTAAGTTTTACAGAGATGCTTCTACATGAAAAATTGTAAATGGATGGTCCAAAAGTCCATATTTAAAATTTTACTCAACATTTTTGAAATAGAAAAACTAGACAATTCATTTTTATTGAAACTTTGCTTAGTTTACATGTATGAGTTTGTGATTAGGTAAGTTTATGAGGAACCACTAGTGGTAGGTCAATGATATTTGGTATGCAGTTGTATTAGCATTGGCACATCTCATTACCATAGAGATTATTTGGCCCCGTCCCCTCAGTCAAGGTCTATTGACTTTGAAACTTTGCTTAGTTTACATGTATTAGTTTGTGATTAGGTCAGTTTATGGGGAACCACTAGTGGTAGGTCAATGATATTTGGTATGCAGTAATCAGGGTTCGACACTAACGCTAGTCCGCTAGCCCGAGGCTAGTAAAAATTAGGGAAGGCTAGTAAAATTTTCATCACATTAGTCTGACGGGCTAGTCAATTTTTTTTTCAAAACTAGGAATTTCACAAAATTTTAATTTTCAACATATCCCAGATTTTTTGCTAACCTTTGCTGCCTTTATTGTACAGTTTATTCACATATATAAATTTTTGATTGTCGGACATTTTTAACATGAAAGGTACTTTTTGGGGAGGGGAAAGAAACGGAAATAATGATGGTACTTAATACATTGAAAACCACGTGTGTTACAAATGCTGTGATGATTCTAATCAGAAACCTGGATCTCAAAAGTGCTTTCATAATATCAAAATAATAACATGAATACGAAATTTACATACATTACTACCGATACCATCACTGTTTGGGAAAAATGTACAACTTATTGGGAGGAATTTTAAGCCATTTTTTTAGTAATTGGGAATTTTCTCAAGGGGAAAAAGCTATATTTCGAATGTAATTTGAGGCAAACATTGAAACAATATCACTGAATTATTGTCATAAAAACAAAATTATAGGTCTCTGCAAGGATTTGTATACTATACAATTCCTTGGTCTCTGGTAAAAATATACAGATTTTTAGGAATAAAATCTTGTCCTGCAAAAAAAAAAAATAAACTGAAACAACAAGGGAAAAGAAGGAGTCCATGAAGAATTATGACAAAAAACAGCAAGGGCAAACCTTTCCTCTTTTGTGGGTGTATTTTTAAATCCCTAACTTATCCATCTTCATTAAATTTAAAGACACTAGTAATAATGATAAGTAAAATGAGGATGATGATGAAGTAAATGATCTAAAGGGGTCTTCAAAATAAGTTGAACACATTCTTAATATAAATGATTAAAATACGAAATTTTTTTTTTTTTATAAGCAAACCAGTGAAATTTCATGAAATAAAACATGTTCAAAACCCTCTGGAAATGCTCCAGAACACAGGATTTAGCTTCATTTGTATCAAAATTTTCTGGGGGGGCATGCCCCCAGACCCTCCTAGATAGGGTTGTGCCGGTGGCACTACCGTCCAAGTGCCCTCGGCACTTCGAGGGCTAGTGATTTGACAAGAGGACTAGTAGAATAATAATTTCACTAGCCCTGCAGGCTAGTACATACATTTAGTAAGTGTCAAACCCTGCAGTTTCTATTGACTTTGAAACTTTTGCTTAGTTTTCATGTATTAGTTTGTCATTAGGTCAGTTTAAGGGGAACCGTTAGTGGTAGGTCAATGATAATTAGTATGCAGTTGTATAAGCATTCGATTGGCATATCTCATTTCCATGGAGATTATTTGGCCCCGCCCCCTCATTCATGGTCTATTGACTTTGAAACTTTTGCTTAGTTTTCATGTATTAGTTTGTCATTAGGTCAGTTTAAGGGGAACCGTTAGTGGTAGGTCAATGATAATTGGTATGCAGTTGTATAAGCATTAGCACATCTCATTTCCATGGAGAATATTTGGTCCTTACCCCTCAGTCATGGTCTATTGACTTTGAAACTTTTGCTTACTTTACATGTATTAGTTAGTGATTAGGTCAGTTTAAGATGAACCACTAATGTTAAGTCAATGATATTCGGTATGCAAATGTATTGGCATTTGCAAGTTTCATTTTCATAGAGATTATATAACCCCTCCCCCTAATTATGGTTCATTGACTTTGAAACTTTTACATAGTTTACAAGTTAATGTTTGTGTTTAGGTTTGTTTAAAGGAAACGACTTATGAAAAGTCAATGGTATTTGGTTTGCAGTTGTATTAGCATTGGCACATCTCATTTCCATGGAGATTGTTTAACCCTGTACCTTCAGTCATGGTTCATTGACTTTGAAAATTTGCATATTTTAATTTCAACATTTGCATTATCAAAATAACAAATAGGCGAGACATATCTCTGTGTTAACAGTTTATTTTCATATTCATGTTGTTGTATTTTTATGAATGGCTTTTAAACTTTGCTCATTGTTGAAGGATGTACGATGACCTATAATTGTTAATTTCTGTGTCATTTGGTCTCTTGTGGAGAGTTGTTTCATTGGCAATCACATCCTCTTTTTATATACCGGTATCTAGTTACAACTCTTATCAAAGAATATATCAAGTGTTAATACACAACTCCATTTGTACATATATATACGTATATATATTGCAATTCTTGTTTATATTCATATTTTGCATAATCCTTGAATATGTTGTGCTCTTGTTTTTAAAACTATAGTATATTTATTAGTTATAGTGCATGAAATGTTCAAACATATAGCTTTTCAAGATCTCTGTATAAATTAATTTGACCTTTTAAGGGGATGGTCATACAAAGCCACAGCCTAGGAAAGGACATCTCCCAGACCCAACAGAATATAAATGTTTAATCAGAGCCTCATTGGGAAATAAAAAACTTAGTACAGTGGTAAGTAATGAATATGTTAGAACTAATTTGTTGATGAAGAGTAGCCATGACAGGTAGATCATCATTATGTACATGTTAGACATTGGTTCATTGATACATTACTGGATCAACTATCTCATCAGAAGACCTTCAGAATTCTTTGACATTCTAGTAAAACAATTTGTTCCAGTAACGAAACGTAACTTGACCAAATATCCAATAAGACCTCAGACCTAAGGAATCACTGAGGAGATAAGAGAAAGGTCTGGCACATTAAAGATTTCTTGTCACAAATAATTGACATGCACACATACATGTATTTACACTTATATTATATCTTGAAAAATCCCCATACTAAAAACCGCATACAAACACACACACTCACAATAGTTTGAGTAAAATTAGATAAACAGTTATACATTTGTAGATGCATGCCATGGAATAAAATAGTTACTAGAATGCCTTTATCTATCAGATTAAATCACACCTTTTATTGATATAATATATTATATCATATGTGGTTTATATATTGTAAAATGACCAATTAGACAGTCAAAGGGGTAGAAAGTTAACATACAATTTCTGTAAATCATCATTTTCTGAGGATTTTATTTTATGCCCCACCTAGGGGCATTATGTTTTTCAGTATGTGCATCCGTTCGTCTGTCCGTCTGTCCTGCTTCAGGTTAAAGTTTTTGGTCAAAGTAGTTTTTGATGAAGTTGAAGTCCAATCAACTTGAAACTTAGTACACATGTTCCTTAGGATATGATCTTTCTAATTTTAATGCCAATTTAGAGTTTTTAACCCAATTAACATAGAAAATGATAGTGCGAGTGGGGCATATGGTACTATGGACACATTCTTGTTTTTTTATGAATAGAAAATAACACGAATATAAATCATCATGCATATATCCAACTAGGATCTTCATTTATATAAATACTTCAGTGTCGATAGGTAATCACCAAAAAAATTGACACAAAGACACTATATAGGGCTAAATGTCGAAAGAATTAGTGAAAATAAGTTGGTTTATAGTATTTCAATGCCACTATTCATTCAATCTGAGGGTTGTCGATATCTATGTACAAAATTTATTGCATATTTTTAGGTCAACATATTTTTCTCATGTTAATATCATTTATATATATTTCAGGTCAGTCAAAAGGATGTTAACAAATTTCAAATGGTAAGATATTATACCTAGTCTGATTTTGTAATTAGATTTTCCCAAAATGACTTCAGCATGGCTATTTGTTTACATAAATTGTATTGTTATAAATTAGGCAATTAGTTTTCTCGTTTGAATTGTTTCACATTTTTTATGTCAGGTCTTTTATAGGTTACTGTACAGTATGGGTTTTTCTATTTATTGAAGTCAGTACTGTCATCTATAATTGCTAATATCCACGTCATATGAGCTCTGGTAGATATTTGTCTCACAGGCAATCATACCACATCTCCTTATTTTTATTAGGGCAATGATCGTTTATTTTATTGATGGAAATATTGTAGGAGCTAGGGATGGATTATAAAGTGGGTGCACAGCAACCTTTTACCTTTACTCAAGAAATTAATTAGGCCACACCAATTTGATTTCTTGTTTGGATTTTTCTGCCTCTGTTTTGAAAGAATTAAAAATGTATAACAGCTTTCACAATTTTTTGGCCTGCATTCCGCTTCAAAATTAGTTATGACTTGAAATTTTTTTTTCACATGATTTTCTGTTGCATAAAATGTTCCTATTGTTTCAAATGCACATGTGATAAATCATAATGTAAACAAAAAGTGGCCTGGGAATTTCAACAGTAATTGTGTCAGCTCATTACCATGGAATGCAGTTATTGAACAGACAGTGGGCAGATGTGTTTCCAGTTTTATGTTTATGATAAGAAAAAAACATAAAATTTTAGAATGATTTGTTTTTTAATGATCACACATACAGTAATATATTTTCCTATCACCATCATCATTGATAATTTTAAGTTTATGTAGTACTTGCAGTAAAACCTTAATTTTAAAGACTTACAACATAAAATCAATCATGAGCAATATAGCAGATGAGACATTTTAGTTTGTGCACTCCTATTTTATCAATGATACTGAATTTAGAGATTTAGTTTTATGTTTATTAACATATGTTCCCAGTCCTTCCTAGTAAAAGGTACATTAGATATGTTGGCTTAAACTTCTTACATTTAAATCTCCAATATTTTGGCAGAATATTGAAAATAGGGTAAAATTGTAAATGCAATTAAGTTATTTTTACCACACCTGGCTTACAAGGCCATGTAGGCCTTTGTCATCACTTGTTGTCCATCGTCCGTGAAACTTTTTCATAGATCTTCTCCTCTAAAACTATCAAATAGATTCCTACCAAACTAGGCCTGAATGATCCTTAGGATATCTAGTTTTTGATTTTGAAGCTTGTATATTTTTTATTCCTGTCTTTTAACAGACATGGCCTCTATGGCTTAAAATAGAACATAAAGGCAAAAACATTTGTTGTCTTATATTTCTAACAAGGACATAAGTGTTCAGAATTTACCTACTTCCTATTTTCACCAAAACGTTTTGACTCCTTATAGGAGTCATTGCGATTACATGACACTAATTGACTTAAGGTTTTTTGCCTATTATCTAAAAGGCACTGGCTACGGTTACATGGAAATGTAACAATAATATAAAAATTATTGTTACATTGGAGACTAATTGCAGGAATACAAGGTTGGGTAAAGAACCGATTAATTACGAATGTAACAATAATATGTGTGTCTACGGTTACATTGCGTTATTGTTACATTAAAGACTGCAATGTACGCTATAATTATTAAACTTAAACCTTCTATGGTTTTGTTACTTAATTCTTCGATATGAATAGATAGTATTAGTAGTAATAATAATAATAATAATAAATATTCAACGAATAGTGTTTAAATAGTTTTAAGATCTTTTAAGTATTCATTGTTTTGGTGTTCTTTAAGATACTACTTTCACCAACAATAATTAAATTACGATCACAAAATATCTGGACTCTGAAAATGAAAACACTGTTTCCACCAGTTTCAACCTATCGGCCAATGTCAATATCAATTACTTTCACAACTGACTTGTATTTAAACAACCTCACATGCTTCCAACATAAATATTGGACGAAAACTTTAAACATCGCAAGAGTAAAAAAATATTTTTCGTCTGGAGCATGGCATACATTTAAAGTTTCTTTAACTTTTAAAAAAAATGTGTCGGACTAAAGCATTCTCCAAAAATAACTTACTGGATTAACTGTCATTGTAAATAAAAATTATAAAAATTGTATGCAATATTGTAAATATCAAATAACAGTTTTCAAGTTTTATTTTAATACATATTCGTTACCGTAGCCCCATCATACATGAACATGTAACAATAACGCAATGTAACCGTAGACACAAATATTATTGTTACATTCGTAATTAGTCGGTTCCTTACCCAACCTTGTATTCCGGCAATTAGTCTTCAATGTAACAATAATTTTTATATTATTGTTACATTTCCATGTAACCGTAGTCAGTGCCTATCTAAAAACCTATTATACATAGGTAGAAACTGTTAAAGGCAAAATGGTCAGCATTACAAGATCCTAAAAAATGCCGATTTGACCAAAACCATTTGGATGACTCCTAACATAAATATTGCCCTTAAATGATGATTTATGACTAATTTTCGTTTTTTGCTAATTATCTCCAAAACTATGATAAATAGTAGAAACTGTACACTACAAAAAATACCAGCAATACAAGATCTACAAAAATTCCAAAAATGATTGAAATCACTGGATGACTCCTTATAAAGTTATTGCCCTTTAATGATGAGTTTTGACTTACTGATTGTGTTTTTCCCGAAAACTATAAAGTATAATATATAGGTATAAACTATAAAGAATATTATATAGGTAGAAACTATAAAAGTGATTGATGCGACACAAGATCTACACAAATACCAATTAGGCTACACCAATTTGATTTCTTGTTTGGATTTTCTGCCTCTGTTTTGGAAGAATTAAAAATGTATAACAGCTTTCACAATTTTTTGGCCTGCATGCTGCTTCAAAATTAGTTACAACTTGAAATTTTTTTTTACATGATTTTCTGTTGCATAAAATGTTCCTATTGTTTCAAATGCACATGTGATAATTCATAATATAAACAAAAAGTGGCCTGGGAATTTCAACAGTACTTGTGTCAGCTCATTACCATGGAATGCAGTTATTGAACAGACAGTGGGCAGATGTGTTTCCAGTTTTATGTTTATGATAAGAAAAAAACATAAAATTTTAGAACGATTTGTTTTTTAATGATCACACATACAGTAATATTTTTTCCTATCACCATCATCACCTATCTTTGTTACAATAGACATAAACTAATATGTATTGAATGAATGAAGTTGTAAATTTCCCTGACCGTATCTAACAAATCACAGAAGTGTTTGATTTTGATGAAACCTCCTTCTGTTAGTGTTTTGGCATGCAAGCAGCACTCTTGTTTTGTCAGGTGGACTTCAAAGAGTACCAAGGTGATGATCTTGTTATTGGAAATCATACATAAACCAATACTGGAACCCTAGGCTAGAGCCTTCTGTCCAATATGGCGGTCTCTGGATGATACCAATGCCAATATTGAAAATTTCATGTTATTTCTATAAATACAGATATTTCTCTCTTTTGAATTAAGATTGGGGTATGTGCACCATTTCAATGTATGCAACTTTTGTTATTATCAATTTTACTTTCTATTACAATATATTTTGCAATGATGAGATGTTTTTTTTAATTCCATTACTCTTAAAAATGAATTTTATATTCTTACACGTGAACAGGATATGGTCCAATATTAATGTATAAAAGAATGAATATTATTTTGCAGGCTTATGCAAATTTGTTAAAAGGGAATATGGATGGATTGAAAAAGAAAGACAAGAAATCTGCTTCAGGAAAATCAAAGTCAAAAGCTACACAGTAAACTTTTGATAGACCATGATTCTTACTATTTTGCAATAGAAAATTTCAGATTGGGTAAGGGAAGTAACTCTTCTATTGATTTGTGTGATGGAACATACATTTTTAATATAAAAGCGTGAAGTAAGCTCTCCTTATATCAAAATTTAGAACAGCTGACTTTTTAATCAATAGATTGTCATGAATTTTTATATGACTTTTAAATGAAAATTGTAAAAAAAAGTTAAAGCTTAGTAGTTATTAGTCAACAAAACAATAAATTAATATTTTACATTCAGGAAAATTTTTAGGACCTACCCTATGGAATAAAAAATGGATACGTGATGAGTAATGTTTTCAAAGTTTCATAGATGAGGTAAAATATTTAGCAGAACAATTTCTCCTAATGTTGCAAAACAGTTATAATAATAATTGTGTCAAATTTTTGCTAATTTTTGTTTTGAAAGCTACACATTTATGTGTTAAGATATGTTAATTTTTGTAAATACACAGAGAATTCAGTGCATGTGCAATGAGAGTTGATGTAATCTGTGTACAATGTATGGAAGGTTGATTGAATGAAAACAATATCAAACCAGTAAGAAAATTATGTGTAAATTTAAAGGTATACGATGTATGTTGTGTTGTTTATTAGTACTTTATTAAAACAAATGTGTCAGCAGAAGTGAATAGAGGTATACAAGTGATGTTTTATACAAATTCAGAATTTTTTTTTACAGTTATATCAAAACTTAATAAAAAACATGAATACAAAATGTTCTCAATTACAAAGAACATTTACCAATAGGTATCACCAGTTTAACCTCAATAATTATCTTTGTTGTTGGAGATACACAGATTTTGGACAATTTTTATTTATTTAAAACTTCAAATAGTCTTAACTACCAATAATGTCAGTTTATCATCACATCACCTCATCTTCATTTATATATTGTATTCAATCCAATCAAATTTAAAGAATCATTATATTTAGATGTAGTGATTTCTGAAAACAAATTATCACCAACTTTTATGTTTTTTTTATAATTAATCAACAATTTATTTGAAAAGTTGAATGCGATAACCAAAGATTTTTTTGAATATTTTTGCAATTTCAAAAAATCTTAACATTGCTCTCATTAATTTATGGTCAGGATTTTTATAATTTTATTGCTGTCAGACATTTGTCTAGATTTATTGTAACAGACTTATATGGAAGAATATCATATAACAGACAATTGTTTATATATTCAAATCAGGTATTTTCATTGACATAGAAATAAGTGTTTATCAGGTCCTAATTGACAAATTTGACATCTGTAGAATTTAATGGTGTAAGAATTGTTTATAACACATTTCACTGTAAAAGATCAGCTGAGCAAGTTTTTATGTTTCATAGAAAATGTTGTGATGTATGCTGCATATGTGAGATTTATGAAATATACAATTTTTTTGTATGATAGAGAAACCATGGACAGCATTGAGTTGTTTATATATTTGTGACTTGGAGAAAAGTCATGAACGAAACATTTATTAAGGAAAACTGTTGCAAATTTATTTGGTAGTTTGAGGTGTATTGACTCAAAAGAAAATCTGATGTATTTTGTTAGTTGTATAGTTCTTTCTATTTATCAGAATTATACACCATTGTTATATTGAAAAGAAAAATTTATTACAAATATGTGTGGATGAGCATTTTTTCATTTTATTTTATTGTAAGCATTTTCATCATGAACGTTATTGATAGGTGATATTATGTAATAAACAAAATTGTTTATTAAAATTAAAAATTGGTTAATATTCTTTGTTTGCCTTTCATAATTTATTTTGAACACTCGTCAAAGTATAGTGTGTTTTGTTGATATTAGTTTGTGCCCCTTTTTGCACTGATACAGCATCTTCTTACAAATTGCTGGCCTGCATGGTAATCCCAAGGATTTTATGTGACTTGAAATCAAGGTTAAACATTTTGAGTCTGTTCACTACAAAGCATATATCTGCATTGAAAGTAATAGGAATACTTGGAGCCATATGATTGGATGGAGTAAAAGATATTTCACTACCTTGAAAACAAAATTATTAAGATCTACTAAATGCATATAAAAAACTTGCATATGGACAAGTAAGGTTGTAAGAATAGTATTTTAGCATTACAAACTTATCTGCTGAAAATTTGATTAATATAAACAATAAATTTTTGAAAAGATCTAAGGAAGTTTTTATACGACCGCAAAACTTTTTTTGGGATCGTATAATGACATGCTGTCGTCGTCTGCGTCGTGTCCGAAGACACATTGGTTTCCGGACAATAACTTTAGTTTGAGTGAATGGATCTTTATGAAATTTTTTAAGAAGGTTCAATATCACAAAAGGAAGGTTGGGATTGATTTTGGGGATGATGGTCCCAACCGTTTATAATTAGGGGCCCAAAAAGGGGTCCAAAACAAGCATTTTTTGTTTCCAGACAATAACTTGTGTGTAAGTGTAATGAGCTTTCTGACTTTGTATTTCGATTGCTCTGAAATTGTACCACAATCTTTAATACCACAAGTAGAAGGTTTGGATTCATTTAAGGGGTTATCGGGCCAACAGTTTAGGAATTAAGGGCCAAAAAGGGGCCAAAAACAAGCATTTTTTGTTTCCAGACAATAACTTGTGTGTAAGTGTATTGAGCTCTCTGACTTTGTATGACTATGTTCCATATAACAATGGGAAGGCTGGGATTGAGTTTGGGGTTAATTGCCCCAAACATGTAGGAATTAGGGGCCAAAAAAGGGCCAAAAACAAGCATTTTTCTAGTTTCCAGACAATAACTTGTGTGTAAGTGTATGGATCTCTCTGAAATTGTACTACAAGGTTCCATGCTACAAAGGAAAGGCTGGGATTGAGTTTTGGGGTTATTGCTCCAAGGGGGGTTTCAAAAAGTTGGGGGGGGGGATTTTTTTTCCAATTTGTTGTAAGGGATTCATATTTTTTTTTCAAAATTTTTAAAATTTCGAATTTTTGAAAAGTTTCAAGAAGAAATCTTTGACCACATTAAATTTGTGTCAGAAACCTATATTATGTCAAAAATTTGATTTCAATCCAAATTCAGACAGTATCAAGCTTGAATATTGTGTCCAAATTTGCCCCAACTGTTCAGGGTTCGACCTCTGCGGTCGTATCAGGCTGCGCTCAGCGAAGCATTTTATTATGTTTTGCTTTGAATGTTCTCCTTTTGATGGCCTCACTTGTGGAGAAGTGACAGAATACTAAACATAGATGTGCCTATCGGGAGGTGGTGGGATAAACTATTTGTACAAAGCTTATACTTCTAAAGGTAGAAGACCTGAATGCTTCATACCTTGTATATAGATGCCATATGTGACGAAGTTTCTGTCTGTCATATGTCAATTCTCCCCTGACCTAATTTTCATAGTTTAGTGACTGCTTAAAAAACCCGTATGGATTTTTTTGTCTTGTGAATTTTTCACTTATTATAAGTAATAGGATAATTATATTTGGTAAATGGTATTCTTGGAAGATCTATATCTCTGTCAGACAGGCTTCACCAGATTTGAACTCATTTTATGGATCACTGATCAAGATTAAAGTTACATGACTTGTTCGGCTTCACAGATACTATATGCAATAGGTCAACTATATTTGGTGTATGGAAAATTGTAAGATGTACATGTAAGACTGGCAGGTTTCATTTGACCTTGACCTCATTTTCATTGTTCATTAATGCTAGGTTTTGTGGTTTGGTCTTTCTCAGATACTATCAGCAATAGGTCAACTATATTTGGTGTATGGAATGATTGTAAGGTGTTCATGTCAGTCTTGCAGGTATCATCTGACCTTGACCTCATTTTCATGGTTCATTTGTTTTTTGGTTTGTTTCTTTAAGCAATTTGTTTACTATTTTTTGTGTATATAATGATTGTATAGTGTACATGTCCCTCTAGTAGGGTTCAATATAACATTAACTCATTTACATGGATCATTGATAATTTTAAGTTTATGTAGTACTTGCAGTAAAACCTTAATTTTAAAGACTTACAACATAAAATCAATCATGAGCAATAAAGCAGAGGAGACATTTTAGTTTGTGCACTGCTATTTCTCAATGATACTGAATTTAGAGATTTAGTTATATGTTTATTGACGTATGTTCCCAGTTCTTCCTATTAAAAGGTACATTAGATATGTCGGCTTAAACTTCTTACAAATAAATCTCCAATATTTTTGGCAGAATATTGAAAATAGGGTAAAATTGTAAATGCAATTAAGTTATTTTTACCTCACCTGGCTTACAAGGCCATGTAGGCCTTTGTCATCACTTGGTGTCCATCGTCCGTGAAACTTTTTCATAGATCTTCTCCTCTAAAACTATCAAATAGATTCCTACCAAACTAGGCCTGTATGATCCTTAGGATATCTAGTTTTTGAAGCTTGTATATTTTTTATTCCTGTCTTTTAACAGACATGGCCTATATGGCTTAAAATAGAACATAAGGGCAAAAACATTTGTTGTCTTATATTTCTAACAAGGACATAAGTGCTCAGAATTTACCTACTTCCTATTTTCACCAAAACGTTTTGACTCATTATAGGAGTCGTTGCGATTACATGACACTAATTGACTTAAGTTTTTTTGCCTATTATCTAAAAACCTATTATACATAGGTAGAAACTGTTAAAGGCAAAATGGTCAGCATTACAAGATCCTGAAAAATGCCGATTTGACCAAAACCATTTGGATGACTCCTAACATAAATATTACCCTTAAATGATGATTTATGACTAATTTTCGTTTTTTGCTAATTATCTCCAAAACTATGATAAATAGTAGAAACTGTACACTACAAAAAATACCAGCAATACAAGATCTACAAAAATTCCAAAAATGATTGTAATCACTTCATGACTCCTTATAAAGTTATTGCCCTTTAATGATGAGTTTTGACTTACTGATTGTGTTTTTCCCGAAAACTATAAAGTATAATATATAGGTATAAACTATAAAGAATATTATATAGGTAGAAACTATAAAAGTGATTGATGCGACACAAGTTCTACACAAATGCCACTAAATAAGATGTACAATTAGCAAAGGTAAAAATATATATAAAAATGGCATATTTTGATTAGGTGAGCTATTCAGGCTCTTATGAGCATCTTGTTTAATGTTTTGCGCAGATTTTAAATTATTTTTCTCATTGTTTGTTGAACTGTTATTTTCAATGAATTGTAGCCATATGGATGGTACATTGTATATGGTTAATGATGTCAAGTCAACAGTTTCCTACATATAACGTTTTCGTATTTAAAACCTCTAATGGAGGGGTACTATACATGTCTTACAGGCTCAACCGTTTGAAGTTAGATGTTAACGTTACTGCAAAAAAGTATTGTCCATGTATTTGATTCATATATATCACAAGTCTGGATTCGCATGTCATTTATAGATGAAGACCCCATCGACAAGCCCTGTCTCACTCTGTTCTGGTTTCATGCTGTACCTTCAGGGTTTTATCTTGGTTTGTAAATTCAATGGATTTTTAAATATTGGTCAAATTACTGTTGCCTCTTATCTATCGGAAACATTCTTTATATAAAAATAAGATGTGGTATGATTGGCAATGAGACAACTACCTATCAGAGGCCAAATGACATAGAGGTAAGCAATTATAGGTCACCGTACAGCCTTCAAAAAGCTATGAGCAAATCCCATACCGTATAGTTAGCTATTAAAAGCCCCGACATCCCGAATGTAAAGCAATTCAATGGAGAAAAATCAAATTTTTAGAATTAAAATTTAGTTTTGTAAATTAAATACTCACCTTCATAAATTTAGATATCAGTCCACTCGCTGCATTATTCAACCGGAAACCAGCCAGAAAAAGAACCATACCCCCGGGACAACCTCTCCCACCTGACGCATGCGCGCCATAAACCTTTATTTGTTCCTTGAATTGCCAGGCACTAAGGGGGATAAAGGGGAGGGGGGACCTCTGATTTATGAAGGTGAGTATTTAATTTACAAAACTAAATTTTAATTCTAAAAATTTGATTTTTATTACATTAAATACCTCACCTTCATAGATTTAGATAACAGAATTTAACGAAGCGCTGAATCCACCTCACTAGGAGGAGGAAAAACAACCTGTTGAGCAGCAACTTAAGGTCCTAAAGAATAAAGGTTGTCACAATGAAGAGGCATAGAGCGTAAATAGTGGTTATAAAAGGCACTATCTGACCTAAAAAAAAACCCAGCTGACATGATTTCCGACATAGAGGAGGAATTAAAAATGTTCCAAGAAGAGGCTAAGGCTCTTACTTCATGAGCTTTAACTTCAGATGAAGCAGACTTGTAAGCCAACATGACAGTATTGCAAATCCAGGTAGAAATGGTTTTAGCAGAAATGTCAGAAATTCCTTTTTTAATAGGAATGAACAACCTAGAAGAACCAGCAGGTCTTAATTTTGCTGACGAGGCTAGGTACAAAATCAAAGTTCTCACAGGACACAACACCTAATTATCTGCAGAAGCAGGTATGGCAGGAATAGTAATTAACCCAGAACCTTTATCAGGTAATTGATTCTTAGCTAGAAAAGAAGGGTCAGTGAGAAGGGTAACTGAGGTCTTATCAGCCGCAAAACGGAGACAATACTCAGAAATTGACAATGCATGAATCTCGCTCCTTCTAGAAGCCAAAGCTATAAGATAAATATTTGAAGGAGGCTGAATGCAAACGTTCAAAAGGCGGAAACTGAAGAACCTTCAAGACTAAACTTAAGTCCCAAGAAGGAACCAAATGTT